GCTAAAGATACACAGCCGATTGGCTTCCGACGCGGCGCTCCTACATGCAATGGAAGCATTCGTGCCTGTCGCCTGTTGCTGGCAGTGCTTTGTCAGAGTTGGGTCACGGATGGATCGCAAGAGGCAGACAAAGGAACGCATGAGAGGCGGAACATTGACGATTTCTGCAATGTTGTGTTGGACTGTTGATACATCGCTACTGAGGGACAAACAGGTTTCTCTCAGTCGTTGCAAGTTGCTGAATCATATTTGAATTTGCACCATCTTGCGGAAAACCCGCCCGGACCACACAAATGAACTGCTTTTTGATCAATTTTGACTGCACTTGCATAATATAATGCTGTTCTGTGCAATCGTAGAAAGGGGAGAAGTGTATAGGAGAATTCGTCGTTTGGCGTGTACCCAGGATTCTAGTTTTACGTAGCGACAGAGCTGGCACGACCTGTGTAGGCACAAACCCAACAAGTTCGCTCTCGGTGTGATTCCTACTAGCGAACCTAATTTCGTGGCTTGTTTTTATGTTGATATGATCTCGAGCACAAAAATAGAAGCAGTGGTCCGAAAAAAGCAAAAAAAGGAAACGAGTCCGCAATTCCTGAAGTTGAGGGCTTCCCTGGTTTTGTAATTCGCACTGTGCTCATGGTTAGACGATGAAACACTGGGCGCGGGAGAGAGAGGATAGGCGAGAGAGCATAACGGACGAGAGGACAGGTACACCCTGCCATTTCCAAAAGGGAAATGTCAAAAGATCGGATTGGTCATGGCAAGCCCCTAGCGTCTTTCTGTGCTCCTACAAGCCGCGCGAGCTGCACTTCTGCGTCTTGCTTGAGCAGCTCTGTCCTACCCCACCAGGGAGGTTTATCCACCTGGGCCCATAGTGGGGTTGTGTCAATGACACGGTTTTGGAGGAATTAAGAGGGAACGCAGAGAAGCTCAATGACACATGTACAAGTCAGTGTTTTTATCCTCCCAGACAAGTCTGGTACCAATTAACCGACCCCGGAGGGATGGAAGGCTTGGTTGGCCCGGGCGACTCACGACCCAGGATTTGATCCCCGGACCGCTCGCGTGGTAAGCGTGCCACTTGCCACTACACCACTTCCGCCCTATTATTATAATTTTGATCTCCCACTATCTGTGTTCTCGTCGATCCTCCTACCATGTGTAGGAGCTAAGGTTCTACCGTCATCGCAGAGGCCGCATAGAAATTGATTGTTCTCCCACTCTCTTCGTCAGCTCTTATAAGTTGCTTCTTTCACCCACCTTCTTGGTCCCTGTCTCACCGCACATAACTTCATGAGTGCAATCATGTTACTTTCAATGCAAAGGCGTAACGAAACTGGTAGCATTGGCATTTCGACTCACGCTATCAAATCTTATCACCTTTTATCACTTTTTTCGCTCGCCATTGGGGTCCGCGTCCCATCCTACATGATTCTTATGGTAAGCGCACCACTGTCAACGCGAACTTCGTAACAATACCAATGACATCGGCATTTCGATGCATGTTATCATCCTAATCCGTACATATCATTCCCTATTACCTATTAAGCTTCAATGCACCCATGCTGGACCCTTTACGAGTTTGACGACCCTTTGACCGATGGGAATGAAGTTAAGAATTTCCGGTCAGACAGACAGACATACACAACCGCTTAACGGTTTATACAGTCCATATCTCACCGTCTGATTGTCAGGCGGCAACATATGGACTGCATACAATAGATTTTTATGAGGTTTCCATAGAGGGGTTTTTTATCTGTGAAAGAGTATCGGAATGCAGTGCTTCAATTAAATACCTAATGTTCAAATTTCAGGCACACGTACTTCCAGAACGGACAAGTGATTCGGCACGACTATGGCTACATGCCAGTGAAAAACGCCACAAGGCGAGATCCTCGAGTGCACGTCGCCTATTTGACTACTTCTAGTGAGGGTACGGTAGCTGTCTATATCCTTTTCTACACTTCATATGCTAGTACCGAAACTCTCGCGGAAATCCACAAATGGTTTCTCAGAAGATTTGGAAGATCGTAACTTCCACTGATATTCCCAAGCTACTCCTCGATTCCAAGTTATCGCGAACGCCCTCAAGCTTCGCTGTGCAGATCGCATATACAAAATAATTCGAGGCTTGTGAATCGTCCAGAGGGCATTGTGAGTGCGCTAAGACGTATCCTCCCAGAAGCCAGATGTAGCAGTGATCACAAGCCGATGAGCAAAACTGGAATCAACAGCGTACATGTACAGTTCCATTGAAAAAAGCTGTAGCAGAACCTCAAACACTTTAGATGGACTTATGCTGGAATCAGGGAAATGGATGCTTCTTGAAAGTAAGGAGGGTGGACAGCGCCTAGTGAAAAATACACACATGTGATCCGATTGACAAAATAAATGGTGCCCTATACAATTATTCGTAGTTTATTAAAAATTCTTGAAGATCAAGGCCGTGAAGGTATAGTATTGCAAAGGAAACTCTTTGAGTTGTTGATTGTGATATTATACCCTAGATCCACCGAACCCTTACTTTACCCTTGAGCAAATGCTTGAGCCAAGTAAAGAAGATGGGATGATTTGTCACAGTCGTCGCATGCTCTCTAGGTTATGCTGCGAATTCGCCTGTGAGTCGAGTAATAAGGAATCCAAAAAAGAAGTGTCCTAGAGTAAAGAAATATGCTTGCTAGAAACGGCAGAGTTGCCTCAAGGCGCAGTGCCTTTGTACATGTTGCTCGTGACATCCAGTAAATGAGGATTGCTTAAGGCTGGTCGATGATGGAGCAGGGACAGGTAAAGGGAACACAGATGACGTTCCATCTAAAGCAGTTTCTCAGAAGGAGTTCGATGTTTTGGCGTCCGAAATGACCTAGAGATCCGAGAGGCAATATCTTTTCTAAATGACTTTCTTCAGAAAAATTACCTGCTCTCACCCATAGTCATTGATGGTCGTCATTTCAGTTTGAACGACAATTTGAGATGCCATCGTACAACCAAATGGTTATGAGAGTTCGTGCAGAGACAAATATGGACACTGAAGGATACACTGCCTTTTATAAAAGATTACTCGGATGAATACTTGGAACCATAAATCGCTTGGCGTTCAAATAAAAATATTTTGACTATTTAGCCAATGCAGACAGTTCGAAACTGGATCGATTTGGTGTACTTCTCGTTTCGGAAATTCGACAATCCCTACTATACATAATGCGCTAAGTCTGTCTGTCTGTCTGTCTGTCTGTCTGTCTGTCGCGTGCTGTCACGAAACGTCGTACATAAATGAAAGCCACCCTACCAGGGTCCGTGTCTAAGTCATGGATGGTGCATTCGATATTGAGAAGTACGAAAACGAACAGCTAAGCGGGTACCGCCGCCGCAGGGCGGGCGTGCATCGAAATACGTACTGAAGACGCAGATTTCAACTTCAAGTCGCCAGTACGCCTCGACTGATCACAAAATGTCGGTGATAGATACAGCCAATATGAATCGGCGACCCACTCCTCGTGGCGGGGGTCTCGTAAAAGCGGTGCTGCACTCGAAAATATTCATGAACTCGATTAGGGAGAAAGAACCTTATCGATGAAAGCCGATGTCTAAGGTATTTCTAGCACACATATTTGAAGCGGGAGGTCCGCCAACAGATGGGCGGAGCGTTTGCCTCAATATGAAAGTTGCCCAGGTTTCTATGTCATACCTTGGAAGCCGATTTATTAAGCTCTTTGTAAGGACGTTTCCTAAAAGAGCTCATAAATTCGGCTCCAGGGGGGGGGGGGTGGGAGATTTACCTAGACAACCGGAAAACCGTGGGTAGAGGTTAGCCAGGAGATATAGTCTAAATTTCAAAACTAGTGGCTAACACCACAGTGTGCGAGTCTTTGAAACCAAGCACCTCATAAACCTCTCCTTAGATCCCCGCAAGTTCCGGGAAAAAACCGCGTGTAAGGCGTGCGCCAAGGCAGGGTCAACTGCGTGTTGCGGGCGCCGCTGCGTTGAAGTGGTGGCGAGTTTGCACGGAGCTACATGCTTTTTGCTATATCCCACAAAACCATCATAATTCGTCTCGCGAAATGAATTAGAGAACGAAAAAACGATTCTGTATTAAGCTTTCTTCTACATTCCTAGTTCGGCGAGATATTGCGTCCGACTCCATCAAGATGGATTTTGGACAACCAAAAATCTACTGTCTTCTTCATCGTTGCAACTTGGCAACTCTCAAAATGTGAAAATACCTACTTCCGACGTAAACGATAAAAAAGAGGTAATCGTGACAGTCCCAAACTCGTCTTTGTATAAGTCACCCACAAAATTCGACCTCCACACCAAAGTGGCAGAATCGAGTTGAAAGGTGTTTATATGGATGCTAATCTTTCCGACAGAATTATTGCATTGTAAGACTAGAATATATATCAATCTGCCTACAAGCCAAAGAACAGCTTCATTTGACCAGGTCGCTGATTCACGTATGCGGCAAGGAATGCGGTCCAATTTCTTGGGTTCTGGGCCGTTTCTCCATGGTTTTTCCTTCTTCAGTACACCAACTCACCATCGCTAAGTTAATTCGAAATGGGTTGACTTTCCAGCGTAATCGTCCTTTAAGGGAGAGAGAGCAGGCGTTAGATAGAGAAGGTGCAGCGCGTGTGCACATGTGGTCCCGTTCCTTGCGGGGATGCACTTTCATTGTTTGTACTGCTTTCAAATACGCCCCTCTCCATAAAGGTAGAGGACATGGAACAACCAAGAACCTGCAAAGATTATTTCATATATTTTTTTTGGATATCCTTGTTTTCTGCTGCACACCGTCTTAATCCTGTCCGTATCATTATGCCACTGATGATAGTGACCGTCACGAATACGACCCCCATGACCTACCCCTGAGAAATACGACTCCAACCTCGAGGATTTTTTCGACCGATATTCACCTTGGCAGTATAAAATAGGGCGGCGTGAGTTGGTAGAAATTTCCGAAATTCCGGTTAATCTGCGAATTTGAAGAATATATTTCCCGTCCATGAGAGGTGACTAGCGCCGAAATACCACTGGTTCAAAACTAAACACTGGAAATCCTTGCGGAAAGCCTTTGCATTCTATAATATCTCCGGTAAGAGATTTTCGTAGCCTAAAAGACCCTGAATATTCGAATCATAATCTTCTTTAATCAAGCTTTTTGGAGAGGAGCAAGGACATCTTTGGAATTTTCCGAGATTTGTACTTTCTAACGTGTTCCAAGAAGTTCCCCTCAAAAATCTAGCTTCTGCACTACTTTAAATGTTTTCAGCCTCGACAAGTCAATCCTTCCATATCGCTGCACTCTCTTACTCTTTATTTGACCTGAACAAGGCGAGGACCTTTCGTAGTGGAACGAACTTGAAGCGGTTGACGCAAACAGGTACTGTTTGTTTAAGAAAGCCCCGCTCAGCGGCCTGTGGCAACCTTGCCGAGACATCTGGAAGTAGTCCATCGCGCCGCTATGGTGTAAAGCACCCATTCCTACCCTAGTCAGGAGAGTCATGAGTCCAAAGGAGCCTAGCAATAAGCCTAAAGATGTGATCCGAGTCTATGCAGAACTGCACAGGCGTAAAATGCCCATGCAACGCTGGCGTCCACCTCGTAGATCTGTGAGAGGTAGACGAAACGGTCGAAATAAACTGAAAAAAAAATTCATTTTACTTTTTCCACAAGTTCACGATCTCTTTCATCGTTGCCTCCTTTCACACATTCGCGATATAGCTCGTTTTGGTCTTTTCGGCCACGTGGACATGGCGCCGTGGCGCATCTCTTGACCAGGAAGGTCTTTCAGGGCGTGACAAGCTTTTTGAAAACGGTCTTTTGCATGATATAGGGGCAGATGCGGGAACCACAGAACCATGTTCAATTTTTCCTGAACGGCCCTCTGAATACCAGAAAAGGAGGTCCCTAGTTCGATTCCTCGTGGTAACAAATTTTTGCATTTCGAGTTGACGTGCCAAAATTCGCGCAAAATGGAGTTAGAACCAACCAGAACAATCAGAACTCCATTTTGCGCGAATTTTGGAACGTCAACTCGAAATGCAAAAATTTGTCACCAAGAGGAATCGAACTAGGGACCCCTTTTCTGGTATTCAGAGGGCCGTTCAGGAAAAATTAAACATGGTTCTGTGGTTCCCGCATCTGCCCCTATATCATGCAAAAGACCGTTTTCAAAAAGCTTGTCACGCCCTGAAAGACCTTCCTGGTGAAGCGCAACTCGTCCTCTCTGCCCATCAAGGTGAAGTTCATTTGGCATGCACGCTGAAAGCAACGCAAAAGAGGCAGTTTGATTGGGGAAAAGGGCGATCAGCCCACCTACGCGCCACAGAGCCCAATATGCGCTCTAAGCGAATAGATAACATTAGCACTAACAAAAAAAGCTGTCACAGCAGGGGAACATAAGTCAATTCAGGAAAGGGAGAGAGTGGACACGCAATTGAAATGGTTGAAAAACTGAACGCGTTCGCAATGCAGTTACCTGTCCCTTCGCCTGATTTGGTCTATTCCTCTTCTTATATTTTTCTCTTCTTATTATGATCTCTTCTTTATACAAGCAGATCCGCAGGATTCAAGCATATCTCACCATTCCATGGACAATGGCCCTTACAGTCGGGTAAATGTGTGATCTATAGAATAAGTATTAACAACTTGGAAGAAGCCGCACATGCGCTAGAAAAAGGGATGACAAGGGGAGAAAAGCGCAAGCGCGTCTCACTGCCGTCAACGTGTTTATTCACCTACCAATATCGGCATCTTAGCGACTTCTGTTGTGAGTCTTGGACATACGCCGCTCGATTATCCACACGGACGCCCACTGCGCCTATTTTGAGCGGATCTTCCACCGCGGCTGACTTGTCAATAACCCCATTTCTCACTTGCTATGGTAGGCCACATGTCGGCGCTATCGCTCTGACGAACAACTTCCACTCCGGGAACGATAATTGTTATCAGACCTGCCTTGGCTGTTACTGTTTCAAATGAGCGTAGAATGTCACGTCGTATATCAAACGGTTTGATAGACAGCTAGCACTCATCTTTTCTACTACTTCTACTTTTGTTTTTCTACTTATTCGTATTTTTACCTTATTCGTGAATAACTCCGCGACATACTTTCTCTTAGTTCCTGAGACCAACACATCAGCTGAGTGACGACAATTTCAGTCATTGAGTCATTCGGAGCGTTGCGAAATGCCATAACTCCTCCGATTTTTCCTCCAAAGTTTTTCTTGTTACTCAGTGCTCAAACTGCTTTGACATCTGTTACTTGCCTATGTTATCGGTCCCACGCTCGGTCCTTTCTGATACAGCATTGACAATCCCCGAGCCCATTTTTAAATTTGAACTTAATATTAATTAAGGCTAGTGTTGTGTGGTATTAATTATGTATGTAGTCCTTTTCTTCAATGCATAAAAATGCTCGAACATTGTGAGACATTCTGTGGCTTGCAATACTCTGTCGTATCTCAAAGGCACGGGTCTGGGATTAGGCGCCCACTTGGAAAACCCGATGGGGAGGGGGGCACTTCCATTTTTTTCCAATACCAAGTAAATTAGAGGGCTCACGACACGTAATCGACTCATTTAAAGTGGACTTCTGATAAATACTGGTGTAATGGGTGAGAAACCCTGAAACGTTTTCACATTTCCGCCTGCCATGACCCAAGGGAACGGTCCTGGACCAGGAGAAAGGACACCTCCGCAAAGGGCTAAGGGTGCAGGAGCTCCAGGGTGGATCACCTGTGCAGAAAAGTGGATGGGATGTAGGCAGGTAGTGTGGAATGTAACATCCACCAGTCCTTATCAAAGTACGCTCGAAATGAGTCGTTCACTTATTATCTTATCCGTGTTCGATAGCCCAAAGAACTGCTCTCTAGTACTACGGATAAGATAGCAATGGAGTGGCCCCCCCGAACTGGAGTTTCACCGTAGACTCAGTTGTTCAATGCTCGACAGGACAGGCGTAGAAGCTCGCCTCGTCCGCATCCGCAGTTCACAGCTTGCTCGTACAGCCGCGCTTTCTCTGTTGGCTGCCCAGACGTTTCCGAAAAACGCGGTGCACATTATTAGAG